TTCTTGAGAAACTTCGAAAAAAGCAGCGTCATGTTCAAGTGGATTTTGCAACTCAAAAAAAACCACGCAAATCTAAAACTACTTGAATTCAAGCATTTTTTGAGAAAACTGCCAACATTTTCTGATCCATGGTTCACTTTCTAAAAGGCCATTTATTTCTCTCTAGAATGATGTACAAATGAGCGTTCTTGCTCATTTTGCCTCCGAGATATGAGTAAAAACGGGACGGAAAACATGGAATGAGTAACACGGGGATTTTGCGAACTTTTGCAGGTTTCGAAGCAACTTTCCGCTACGGCGGGGCTTTCCAGTGAACACGAACTGGAGCTGAACAGTTTAAGGGAAGCCATGGGCGTTATGCAGCATCATGATGCCATTACGGGCACTGAAAAGGAGAATGTGGCAAATGATTACGAAAAACAACTGCACAGCGCCATTAGGAAATGTGATAATTTAACCACAACAGCTTTGGCGTAAGTTGCAGGGAGAAGGGGTTCTTGTAGCCTCTTGTCGCTCTGGATGTTCAATTCCTTATTGTATTCTTTTGAAATTTTCCAACAGCAATCTAATTAACAAGGATCATCCCACATTCGAGCACTGCCTGCTTGCGAACATTAGTCAGTGTGAATTCTCAGAAAGTTCAGAAAGATTCGTTGTTACAGTGTATAATCCGTTGAGTAGATATGTTAACAAGTATGTCAGAGTGCCAGTTTGGGGCAAATCCTACCAAGTCCAAGAACCTTCAGGTATTGAAGTTATTCAGTTACACAATCGCAGATATGAGAGACATCTTTGACTTGCTAGGTGGAGGGCAAACTGTCCAAATTATCCCGATTCATCCCAAAATACTCAAAATACCTGGAAGAACCAGCAACGCTACCCTGGAATTGGTTTTCCAGGCCAGAAACGTTCCCCCATTGGGATTCAAGTCGTTTTACGTGCAAAGAGCTGAGGGCGACGACGTGACGGCTTTGGATAACGGCACTTTTTGCATTCATTACGATGTAAATACCCATTTTGAATGCTCCAGCATTCAACTGAACCTCCATTTCACTGATAGAATGTGGGGCTCGATGTGGATCCGACTGCTGGCATTGTAGGAAAAATTCACTTTGAGAACAACGTGACTGTGGATATCAACCAAACCTTCCAGTACTATGCAGGTTCGGTGGACAAAGCGAAACCTTCAGGAGCGTATATTTTCCGGAGGGATCCAGAAATACCGCTGGAAAATGTTGCTGATTTCGTGCAGTCTAATAAGTTGTATCCAGGACGTTTGGTCACGGAGCTTCAGCAGGTAAAAATTTTTTTTTTGGAAACTCGGTGATTTTCAGGTGGGTTTTAAAGGTCTACAATGACATGGTTAGTCAAACTGTGCGCCTTTATCACGACGAGAAATTTGTGGAGTTTGACTGGATCGTGGGTTCATTGCCAAATTTGTAAGTACTACTCATGACAAGGACCTGAACACTTTTAGCTATAATTTTTGATAAAGGGAAGGAAAAGGGCATAAAAAACACAGAAAACTTTCATCAAAAAATTCAACTCGCAGTTGTTTCCTAAAATTTACCTATTGGAATGCATTTGGTAGGGCAAAGGTTGTTCTACAAGTGCGAAAACTTTCAGTTTTCAGTTATGATCAGGAAATTTTAACAATTTTTCCAAATTACATTGCTTCAGCTGATTTTTATGTAAGGCAAAGTTTCACATTAATTTGCATAGGAACTTGCAAAGCTAGAAAGTCACTTTTTAATCCCGATTGTAAATCAAAGTCTATTCTATAAGTGGTAAACGTTTAGATCTGACCTCATTTTCAAGGAATTTTCAATAATTTTTTAGAATTTTGTATGTATTTTTCGCTTGTTTAGACGGGCCGGAAATTATCAGGTATTTTTTCAGAAAGGTGTTAAATTAGAGAGTAACTTTCCAATGCCTTTTATTGAGCAGAACCTGTTTTATAAGTGACAAAAATTTCGGCTCTGAGTCATCATCAGGCTATTTCCAAGATCGTTTTAAAAACTCCCATATATTTTTGTGACTATTCAAGCAGACCAGACCAGATTTTATTATCATTTTAGATTCACTTTTTGCGTATTTTTCAAAGAACATAGAAACCTCTTTGCAAAGTCGTTTTTTCAAAAACCATACATTTTATGAGGACTTGCGTCTTACTCCAAAAAGGGTGACTTTTGAAGAGCTTTTGACTAAGAGCATGTTTTTTGCTTCAAATTTTCAATCCTAAAATCCACACTTCAAATTTATAAATGCCCGGAAAAGCGGAAATATAATAAAACATCAGACGATTTCAATTTTTTTTAAATTCCCTGATTATTCCGTACATTCGAAACTTTCGGTAATGATACCAGTAATACTCACAAAGTCAGAAAACCCGCGAATTTAAATATCTGTCGGTTCGAAAGTTTTCAATTGTGGAAGACCAGTTTGTCCAATACTGTGCTTGAAAAAATTATCAAAGTTGAAAAGTTGTTGAAATATTCCTGAGGAGTGCGCAAATTCGAAACGTTGGGCCTCAATAGAACTGACATTTCTGTTCAAAATGCCGCACATCTGAAGTTGTAATTTTATTAATTTATTGAAAAACTTACTGTTGAAGCGAGTGCGTCAAACGGCAACGCTTGAAAAAATCAGCCGATTTAGAAAATTTTTGAAAAATTCCCTGATTATGCCTTAATCTCAAAACTTTCGCCATTGGTACAAGTGGCTTTATATCACCAAGTGCCAAAACCCAAAGGCTTTTATTTTTATAAATTCGAAACTTATCCATTAATTGTGGCAGGCAATGATAAAAACAGCTCGCAATTTTTTTTCCAAAAAATCCCTGATGAAGGAGAGAGCCCGAAACTTCGGAAGATAATAAAACCTACTTTTCTCTATAAGATCAAAAAACGCCCAGGTTTCGAGCTCATTAAATCCTTTAGAAAAACCACTGCTGGAAACGAGTTCGCCCAACTGCAGCCGCTGAAAAGTCCATCAACTTATATAACATATATATATACAACATATAACAAAATATCTGAAAAAATCCATGATGGTGCTGAAAATTCGAAACTTTCCTGCAGAACACTATTAACTGTGCCCTGCAAAATGCATTAACTGGCAAGTTATAGTCTTTGTTGGATTTGGAGAAATCAGCATCTGAATATTCAAAATTCTATGAAACTCCGCAAAAGTTCCTCCGCATTATTCAAACAGATCAAAAGGTACATTTAAAGAAATAATAGATTAAATTGTCGTATTTGGGCGATATATAATTTCATCAGAAATTCTTCATCAACTATTCTGGTTTCGATTGCTAATCAAGAATTCCGTCTGGGTTTGACCATAAACTGACCCCAATTTACCCAAACGAACCCAATGAAAACCAAAGAAACCTGAGAAACCTGAAATTCACTTTTGAACTCAAAAAATCTGAAGTTCTGTTACCTAATTTTGAATAGTAAAATCCACAAAAAGTAGAAAATTAAGGAACTTTCAATGATTTTTTCCAGTAAACTCAATGGACGAGAAGTGATAACGAAATATTCCACCCAGTTGGACAGTAACGGCACGTTTTACACCGACTCTAACGGCCGTGAGATGTTGAAACGCGTTAGAGACTTCAGACCCACATGGAAGGTGGACCTGAAAGAGCCGGAGCCTGGAAATTACTATCCGGTAACATCAAAGATCACTCTGCAAGACCCAAGGAAGAACATCCAGTTTAGTGTCTTAACCGACCGAGCTGAAGGGGGCACCAGCCTGGAAGACGGACAAATCGAGCTGATGGTGCCAAATTTTCCATACCAAAGTCCAAAACATTTTTTTCAATCTTCAATTCCAGCTCCATCGAAGTACTCAAGCGGACGACAACAAGGGAGTGGAAGAGAAGCTCTTTGACTGGGCGTATTATACAGGAGTAGTGGTAAGAGGCTTGCATTATATGGTTGCCGGGCACATAAATCCTACATCTGAAGAAGGTAGGAAAACCTTTTTGGAAAACCAAATTTGGCGGTGTTAAAAATTGATATTCCAGAACAAACCATTGTGGCACTGGAAAGGGACATTGCTGAAAGAAAGCTGTTGGATGCTTGGACCTTCATCTCCATCCCCAATGAAGACAGCTTTGAGCAATACCAGCTGGAGAATAGAATGGAGGTGAAACCCCCGCAGGTCTTTATGTGAAGGTTTTTAAAGCAAAATTTCTAGTTTTCCGGACTGGAGTTTTCCCTGCCAGCTAACTTGCATGTTCTAACTTTGGAGCCTTGGGGTGATTCCACCTTTCTTCTGCGGCTGGAGCATTTATTTGCCAAAGATGAAGATCAGTATCTATCGCAGCCTGCCGCCGTAAATCTCTCTGTAAGCATTTAACTGATCTTCGTTATCTTTGTTTATTCCAGTAAATGTTCACAGGAGCTTTTCACTACCTTCAACATAATATCAGTGAGGGAGACGACTTTAAGTGGCAATGAATGGATCGATGAAGCCCGAAGGATGCGATTCAGGTCCGGCAACCAGCCGCAAGTGGATGATGAGCAAGATCAGCTACTGAGTGATGATGAATTTGAAATCACGCTAAAACCAATGCAAATTCGAACGTTTGTTATTAAAACCGAGGCCAAGTTATTCTATATGTAACTGCTTTGGACAATAAATTTGATTTTTACTCTACTGCACTTTTATCCGGTTTATTTAAGTATTTTCTGGCAATTCCAACGGTTTGTTTTCGGTTACTTGATGAACTTTTGAAATACCGGCCGTCTATTCGGCGTTGCCAGTTTAGCAGAGGTTAGCACGAGGCTCCTTCATGTCAGATCTCCAGTCTCACTGACAGGACCCTAATACCCAACCTCAATATTGCATATGCATCTATTTACCAGAGTGTCTACTGTATAGTTGGAATATGGAAAATACCTATTAATTCACCATGTCTCGTCTGATTGTAAAAAACCTTCCCCAAGCTGTAAGTGTGACATCAATAAAATTCCAGCCCTTGACCGTACTTTCCTTAGCAGATTCCGATAAACCTGATAAAAAGGTAAAAACACGTTTCTTCTAGAATCAAATTGTTTGTTTTAGATCACCGAGGAAAAAGTGCGAGAGCTATTTAGCCAGCATGGTGCTATTACGGACATTCAGTTGAAATACACCAAGGAGGGCAAGTTTCGGAAGTTCGGCTTTGTGGGGTTCCGCAATGAGCAGGAGGCCGAAACGGCGATTAAAACTCTTCACAACTCATTCATCAACACGACCAAGATAACAGTGGAAAATTGCGCTCTATTAGGCAAGTTTAACTTCGGTTTCTCCATGAAAACTGTCGTCCCTGCTCACTTTCCCATCTCGCAAGGTTTCTTTAAAAACAGTTTCAACTCTTTGCAGGAGATGCCAGTAAGCCTAAATCATGGAGCAAATATGCAGCTGATAGCACCGCTTTCAAAAAGGCTAATGTGGCAAAGCGAAAGCCCAGTGAAGATGAAGATAGTTCGGAGAAGAAAGCTAAACCACCCAAGAAGCAAAAAAAAAGCAACGAGGTCAAGGAGCTGTTGCAGAAGGTAAATTAGGCTGTAGATTCTTTAGGTCTGCATTAACTTCCAACTCTTTTTCCAGTATAAAAATGACCCGATGTTTAAAGAATTCTTGATGGTCCACAACAGGGAAGACGCAATAGAAGAACTGGAAAAACCGACTGAGGAACCGACTGATCAAGAAACCGAACCTGCTGAGGAATTAACGGAGAAAATCGCAGAAGCCCCTGTGTCTGATATGGAATATATGAACTTGCTAAAAAAAGGAATAGCCAAGGTTGAGAAACAACTTAAACCCAAAGATGAGAAAAAGAAAAAGAACTTTCAGCTGTTCACTTTGAAGGTACCCTTTCAACCCCCTAACACTCTCCACAAATATCAATTTCTTTGTGTCGCAGCTGATAGATCTTCCATACTCTACAAAGAAGAAAGACATCAAAGCCTTTTTCAAGTCGAATATTCCGTTCAGCATAAGAATACCACGGCAAGTAAAGGGAATTGCCTTCGTTGGCTACAAGAGTGAGGACAAGTTTAAGGTTGCCTTGCGCAAAGACAAAAGTTTCATCAGTTAGTAGCCAGGTTCAATGTGTTGGCTTTGAATAAATGGTGGTTTATTTATTGCAGAAGGTCGACAAATTCGAGTTGTTCACTATGTGGAGAAAAATGACCCAGGCAAAGCTGAAGCTGATTCGAAGAGATGCAAATGGAAAAGCCAGGAGGAAGCGCTGAAGAATGAAGAAGACATTGCAGAGTCTGGGCGCATTTTTATCCGTAACCTTTCATACACTGCAACGGAAAAGGATCTGGAAGATCTATTCGTCAAGCATGGTTAGTTGTCCGACACATTTTTTTAAACAAAGGCATAAATTTCAATTTCTTTCAAGGTCCGCTAGCAGAAGTGAATTTACCAATAGACAGCACTTCGAGACAATCGAAAGGCTTTGCTGTTGTAACGTTTGTGATGCCTGAGCATGCAGTGAAGGCCTACACAGAACTAGACGGTTCAATATTGCAAGGCCGAATGATGCATCTTCTACCTGGCAAAGCCAAAGATATATCGGAAGAGGAGAAGCTAGACGGTATGAGACGATATAAGACTCACAATATTCTCGATTTTCTCATGAAAATTTTGATGTTTGATGCAGAATCTTCAAACTACAAGAGCAAAAAAGCCGCCCAGTTGAAATCCCAAGCTGGTTCTTCGCACAACTGGAACACGCTGTTTCTGGGCCATGATGCTGTTGCGGGCGTAATGGCAGGAACTTATGGAGTAACCAAAGACGACCTCATTGGTCCGGACGCAAAAGGCAACGCTGCTGCTCGGCTGGCTTTAGGTGAAACCCAACTGGTGTTGCAAACCAGAAACTATTTGGAAGAACATGGAGTGTTAGTGGATATGTTTAACACTGTGAGTATTCTTGACTCGAGCAGGGACACGCAGAGGGATTAACAAACGCTCGGATTTTTTAATTGCAGGCTCCAAAGACCCGGTCGAAAACCGTGCTGTTGGTGAAGAATTTGCCTCCAAGAACAGAAGCTGAGGAAATCAGGAAAATGTTTGGCGAACACGGCGAATTAGGCAGAGTTATTCTGCCGCCTAGTGGAATAACAGGTAAAGACAAATCATAATCGGTTCCTACCTAAAAATTGCTCCAACTTCTCTGCACATTTTCTTAATTTACATCAACAATTTTCCAGAAAAATTAATTTTTATCACCCAATCCAACCCTTTTAATTTTTTTTATAGCGATTGTGGAATTTTTCGAGCCATCGGAAGCCCGAAAGGCTTTTCTGAAGTTGGCGTATTCAAAATTCAAGAGCGCTCCCCTGTACCTTGAATGGGCCCCAGAAAGTAGCTTGGCTGATGCCAAGAAAGCGCCCGTTGCTTCGAAACCCCCAGCTAACACGCCTGAGGATAATAATAATAGTAATAAAGACGAAGATAATGAAAACGCTCCAGTCGAAGAGGAGGAAAGTGAAGGGGAAGCCGAACCGGATACCACATTGTTTGTGAAAAATCTCAATTTCATAACCACGGATGAGGATCTTAGGAAGGTAAGTCTTACTTGGTCCAAAATATCCGGATATAAAAGCGGTTTTGTTGGCAGCATTTCGAAGGCTGTGGAAAACTGAAGCACGCAAGTGTAGCCACGAAAAAGGACCACAACAACCCAGGGGAAAAACTATCAATGGGTTATGGATTCGTTCAGTTTTACTTGAAAAAGAGTGCAGACAACGCGCTCAAGTCGATGCAGCAGAGCGTTTTGGACGGAAAGTCTTTGGAGTTAAAGCGATCCGAAAAGACTATAAGGTAATATTATAGATAAGAGTTAAGATTCTAAACCACACCTCAAAAGTATCTGAAACACTTTTCTAATTGTTATCTTTTTGCAGAACCGAGCAGCCCACGTCTGCACGGAAAGCCACCAAGCTATCGAAACAAAACGGATCAAAGATTCTCATCCGAAACGTGCCATTCCAGGCCGGAGCCAATGAACTATTGGACTTGTTTAAGCACTTTGGAGATATCAAGGCTCTCAGAATGCCCAAGAAGATGGACGGAAGCAACTCACACAGAGGATTCGCTTTTGTCGATTATACCTCTGAAGCGGATGCAAAGGTAAACAATACAGAGTTGTTTTGAAAAACTTTCGCAAAACAATAGGTTTTTTTTTTCAGAATGCATTTGCAACTCTCAGCCAAAGCACTCACTTGTTTGGGCGACGCCTTGTTTTGGAATGGGCCTCACCGGAGGAAGGAGTGGAGGAAATCAGGAAGAGGACAACGGAACATTTCAAGCAATATGAGGACGTAAAGTCCAAGAAAGCTGTATATAATATTGAATAAATTTTAACTCGTTAAGTCTTGATTTTTTTCATTCATGTGGGTGAACGTTAAATTGACAAAGTCGCTATCAAATCCTTTATTACTCAACGATCAACAACATTCTTTCACACAATGGTAACAATTAATTCTAGAAAAGACTAATTCGACTAAAACTGAAGTGCTGCACTCATTTTTTAAGCAAAGTCTCATCTTGCATGGAGAGCTGGCCTAACTTTTTGCCAATCCGTTCATGAATGTCCAAAAACTTGGCGACACAGCGATCGATGCAAACGGCTTCACCTTTTTGAATTTCCGAATCATTATAAACCGGAGCGATACACTTTTTGTGGCACGCGGCAGTCATGCGATTATACATATCAGCCATCATTTCAATTTCCAATTCCTGGATAAGTTGGAGATTTTGTTGTTCCGCGTGTGACATTTTGATCAATATAGTATTGGGCAAAAAACAGCTGGTAAAGTCCTATAGACTTGACGAAAACTTCCTGGTGCTGGGATCGTAAATTCCTTCGTTTGCTTGTCTCATGCGTTGTCGAGCTTTCATATTCTCATAGCGCTGCTTTTCGATGCTAGTCTTTGCCCAATAGAACGAGTAGAAGCCACCAATAGTACAGAAAACCCTGAAATAGTTTAAAAAAATGATGGGGTGATTTTGTAGGTTAAGTTGCCGATTTATATCACTAGCAGGTTTTACCCGCCGAAATACTTACCAACCGATTCCTACCTTTGCGGTTTTACCTAACGGCATACTTTACGTTCATTTAATTATAAATTGAATGGTCAGTAGTGAGATAATCAAACATGCATCAAAAAAATATAAAATCTGAAATTTTTATGTCAGAATCATCTGAGAATGCGGCATGTTATGTCATTTCTTGATAGGAAAGTGCTGAGTGGCCACCTCCGGGATATCACATCAGGGGAGAAGAATTCTTGATTAAATTTAGAACTGGTGTTGCTTGGCAAGTGAGTATTCTGGCAACTTCTGAAGTTTTAACTATGAGAATATTGATAAAACGCCAGATGTGTGTTACTGTTTGTACATGCCGATAATTTATAAATTATTCGCTATACAGTTTCCCAGAAATTCTGGTAGGTTTGGCATTGCCGCGTCTGTGAATTTTCGACGAAAGAAGTGAAGGAAGCGTCGATGTGACGACACTGCGACGTTGTCAATAGTTGCAACGCCAAAAAAAATCGCATTTTGCATTATAATTTATTAATAATTTTTTGCCAGAAAATCATTGGGGAAAATTGCAAATATTCAAACAAAAAATTGCGGAGTCTGATCACTGTTTAAATTTATTTTTATTAAATTATTAAATTATTCAAAAAACAGTTAGCAGAAATACTGAAAAAGTATGATGAATTTATATGGTTTAGATTTTTGTGTTTCGCGAGTAATTGGAATTTGGCCCGTGGAATTTGCCTGAGTGTTCGAAAATATGCGTGTTTCGGAAGTGGAGAATCGAAGGAAGAACATAATTTGTAATTGGCAAAAGCTACAAGAAAAAATGGTTGTTCAAGTAATAATAATAAAAATAGATAATAATAATCATAATAACTGTAGCACTAATAATAATAAACACACATAATGACTGTTGTCCAGGTGCAGAGTGTTGAATGGAACATTTCTTTATATGAATTAACGCTATTTCGAATACCCTGCTGGTAAAAAGTGGCAATTTAGCTCACTTTTTGTCCACGAATTCGGTGATGGATTTTTTTTAAACGATTTATGGTTTTTTCTTATTTTATTTGGCTGGACGACGGCAGCTAATTCTCGTTTTAAATATACACACCAAAGAAACCCAAGTTGAATTTTTTAAACGAATGTGTGAGTTAAACGTTAAGTCGCTGTTATGGAAAAAGAACTACTTTTGCGCAAACCGCCACACCGAAAATTCACGGCTTGAGCGCTCCCGTTCACAAACACTAAATTCGAATTTTCAGTCTGTAATCGCGCAGTAGCTGAAAAGCAGGGGTTTCGTGTTTCACCCAGTTCCCAAAGAAAAGACGCGAAACTCGACAAATTGGCCAGATTTCGAATTCACTCTACACAGTTTTGCTGATTTTTTTAGTGCTTTTCATGTTTGCCAAAACCGAGTAGTGGATGATCTGCTGGGCGCATCTGGACAAAACTTTGCAAACTTTTGCGCGGTTTGTTCTCATATAGTTTTAAGCAACTTTTACCGAGACTCTCAACTTTTGTTTGATGAACCCCGATTGTGAGTGCGCACTTTTCGCACAGTGATTAGTGAGTGGCAAAAAAGTTGTCGAGTACTGCCCAATGTTTCTAAACTGGCGTTAACTTGAGACCTCATGCAACGAGAAATGCTGCTCAGGATTATCTTTTTCGGGATTCTTGCTAGAGGTAGCCACTAAAATATACTTTTTACATCAAAAATGCACGTTTTGTCGATGTTTGTAAATCTTGTTTTTAACTAGTAAGTTGTAGTTGAAGCACTTAAGAATCTAACAGTTAGTAATCCAGCTTCTCGAAGCAGAAGATTTTGGCCCCACAGTCTTAAGACTTGACTACTTGTAATTTTAAATGTATCTTCGGCATATTGAATTAAAACGCTTGGGCGATTCGAACGGGCAAAATCGAAATATTAATATAAATGCAAAGCAGGTACAATTTGAAAGCGTAAAACTGAATCATCAGTCGGCGGTTTTCGGCAGCGTTCAGCGTTAACTTTCCATAAATCACTTTAAATCTTTGCAAATTAGAGAAGTTCTATCAATTCTCGTTCAGACGAAATCAGCTGGGGGAAACGCATTTAAAACAGCTTAATTGAACACAGACAGGAATTATTGCGAAAAAAAAAACAATTTCTTGGGGTAGTCAATTTATTTTATTTTCCGGATTTAAGGAAATCATTGTCGGGATTGTTTAAAAGTTTGAGCACAAAAGTTTTTAGCATTTTTTCGTTGTCTCATTGATTTTTTGTGTATTTTAAATGTTAATAATCGCTAGCTGTTGCATGCGCTACTGTTTGTTACCAATACTCAGGTTTTTAACCCGAACTCAGCCACCGTAAACAAGGCATGCAAATCAGTATAAACCCGAATATGTAGCTCGCATACATATTAATGTCTTTCTTTATGCAGAAATCTTACTGATGCATTACTTTGCGCTTTGACTTCCCCTAATGATTTCACCAAAAAGAGTGAAATTCCCCTGTTTCAATCAACAAATTTAAAGAGATGGTTGCATCTTTGAGCTGATTGCGTCCAGATATTTATAGAAGCAAAGCATTCCGATGAAGTTCAATATCACATAACATGAACCGTTGCTCTCAAGACGAACATCATCGCATCTGTTTGTTGGATGGCATTAAAGTGGTGTATTTTTAGCTCCGGAATATCTCCTGGTCGTTTTCTACAAATACTAAAAACTACCGGAAAACGCCTTTGAACAGGATTGATCTTTGACGTGGTCATTGTGCATCTTCACTATTGAATAAAGTTGCAATAAATGTATGTCGATAAAATACGCGTTGCACTTGAAGCGTTACTTAAAGATAGACGAATGTAGAGCGGCTTTGATCTTGATTGAGTGGAGATATTTTTCGAATCGAAAAATTCATATACGTATGGGTATAAAGATCGGGCAAAATTGAAGCAGCTTTGATGTTGGCTCTAGCAAAACACAAAAGCTAAAAAGAATCTCCGCCGCTGTTTATTCGACAGGCCAACCGTGAAAACAACTGTACCATGCATCCTTTTCTTTTACCTCCACACCCCAAATAATTAGAAGTTTTATTTATAGAAACAATGATTAACACGCACGTGATTGTTAAACTGTTTTCTTTTATCTAAATCGAATGTTGTATCCCCACATGTTTTTTCCAGTCTAATTATTTAAATGTTGGCGTTTTTTGATAGCAGTTTGTCTCATTTTATTTGTTGGTTTGTTTCGTTCTCGACATGATTTTTTCTAGTTCCTGGCATTCTGTTCTTCTTTTTTTAGCTCGTCTGTTTCTTTAACTATCCACCTTAATGTTATCGGGGGTAATGTACTGCTACTGGCAACAGAAAACGACTCAATATTTTTACTTTTGCCAAAAAATGCAAATTTCCCCTCAAATTAATCAATTATTTAGCAATTTTAATCCTTTTAATAACGTTTTATTGATTGAAACAACGATTAACCCGCACGTGATTGTTAAACTCTTTTCTTTCATCTAAATTGAACGTTGTATGCCCACATGTTTTCTCAGTCTGATTACTTAAATGTTGGCGTTTTTCTTCAGTATTTTGCTATACATTTTTCGCACTTTATCTGTTGCGTTATTAAATTTCCCACATGATTTTCTTCTAAATTCTTACATTTGCTCAATAAAATCTAAAATTTGCAACAAATTGAATTATTTGTCAATTTCTACTCTAAAACGACTCCGCCAACAGATTTTACTTGAATTATTTCCTTTGTGGAATTATTAAAGTTTGGCGTTCAGATAAACTTCCCAACGACTTGTAATCGGAAAAAGTGCTCTATTTCATCGAAAGCTAAAACATAAAAGTCCTTCATATGGGCAAAAATAACTACATAAAACCAAACAATAAAAGCAAGATTGATAAGAAAGGAATTGTTTGCTTCGGAACTTATATCCGACCGATACATCGAATTGAATCTTCCATAAAATACTGAATGCTTTTATTGTATTGTTTCCATTTTTGGTTTGTTTGTGGCACTGTCGGATTATTAGATATATTGCATTTTCCAAACATGGCACTTGATGAGGAGAAAAAGTCGCATTTATGAGATAATTATCAGTTTGTATGGAATGAGAAGTGGATCAAAAGAACTGAGAGTAAAACAGTTTGAAATAAGAATCTTTTTCGTTAAAAAAAAGTGAAACTGGTGAGCTTTTCGGGCTTTTAGCCGCTCGTGGAACATAATTTGTTTCTAACGTTTTGCATCTTGCCTAAAATACCCTAAAAAGCCAGAACACAGTTTTTAGTTGGTAGCTAAACTCGAATTTAACAAAAGTTTTAATTTTCTTAAGGTCTCCTTATGTAGATGCGTCATTTCTTATTTAACACTTTATTTCACTTGATGATTTGAGAATCTTGTAACTGCGGTTTTTACATCAATTTTTTTAACGAAATTTTCCTGCAAGAAGTTGATCCCTAAAAAAAGAAGCCTCTAATCAAACATATGGCTTATTTATGAGTTCTAAATATATCCCATGCAGCGCTCCCATAAAGGGCAACAAGTACCGGAAATGCCAGCATTAAGAGTTAAGACTCAATATGTGTGAAACAAAACGCAAACCAAACAGATACTTTCTATCCTGAATAAACAGGGTTTCCATTCGGTTTTGTCCAATGGGACAACAGATTGTTGATTTTATGGTCATAATTTTGTCATTTCGTTTCATATAAATGGAAAAATGGTATTTTTTTAAATAAAATTTGCAGTTTTTTTCACCACCAATACAGGGTGTCTCAAGAACTGCAAACCTTTGCAAATTAAATAAACTTATTGATTGCGATATTCATATGTACACTCTAATTGTTTGAGCCCACTGTATAGTCTTTATCATGTCCTCTAGCAAATGTCACGATAAAAAATTCATAACCGCGTGCTTTGGAAAAGATCCAAGATTACAGTGTTGAAAATGTGATTTTAAAAGAGCACCGAAACTGTATTTTAATGGCCCGAAAGGGACACAGACAATGTATTTTTAAACGTTTTCGGCCACATTTCGCGTCAAAGTTCTGCAAGGGATTGTAATAGTTTGAAGCGAAACTAGAGGAAAAGTTGTAAAAATTCAATAGGGTTTTTTGCGACGAATTTAGAACCATTTTCACAACGCACATTAGACGAAGTTTCCATCATTATTCAGGAAAACATTCCATATGCTGGACTTTTTCATGTGCCTTCTGCGATGTTACAGGATTAGTGCCAAGTTCTTTGGCGATGATTTTCTCCTGTTTGTTGGAGCATCCATTAGGAAGTACGGCATTTAGAAAGTCATTGTTTCGCGATGAGCTCGCTTCGATTAGAATGAAGTGAATGGGCGCAATCGACTTGGAAGTTGTTGAAGCAGATCTTTTCAAATTCTGCTTGTTCTTCCTCGTTCTTTTTCACTGAGGCTGGAACTATGTTTCTGTTGGGCTTATTTACTTAACATTTATCCGAGGCGATTTTTTGTTCGCCTGCCGGAATTTTAACAGACTAATTCAACAATTCACTCGAATCCAGTTTCCGCAACATTCAGTCCGTTTAAGTCCTCCGATACGTTAAAACTAGATTAAATTCGGCTTAAATAGCAAATGAAATTACAGTTCCCTAATTCAAATCCATTTTAAAAGTAATTAAAATTGAAAAGATTTATCTCCGGTAAAATTGGACGAGCTGTAATTACATACGTTCAGTAAATATTTGAAAAGCGGGTACGCTCTTGTTGTCCCCATCAACCGGGGCAAATTGTTGACGGGAAATTAGTTAGGAGTTTTTCTCGTCAAATTGCGATTTGTGGCTGCAAGAAGTCACTCTAATTGGTTGGCACGAGTTGTCGTTACTAAACCCGAAAAACCATTATCCATGGTTCCGCCTATTATCTTGCGCGCATTGCGGATCTTCTAGTTACCCGATCTTCAGTGGTGTAGCTCAATCACTTTGCCTAGAATCTCTTCAAATGAAGCTTCCGATGAGAAAACCGGTTACTTTTCTAGCTCTTAAGCGAGAGAACTTTTGTAATGTTCTTGGAACGGTTTTAGCAGTTTTTTCGACAGTCACGCAAAAAAGGCAAAGGTTGGATTTATTGCTTAAAAAACACAAAATACACTTTTGCCGGATTTCGAATATTGCATTTGAGCATCTGTTTCCATTCCTTTGAGTAACCAAATCTGCCTGTTAGATTGAATATAATTGCACATCGCAAAACTGGAAATATAAAATAATTTGAACGTGAGACGCTGAGAGGCGAAATCGACTTAACGCGATAACCAAAACCAACACTGAGACTAATGTGTTTCCCTCTGAGATAAAAGTTCATTGAGTAAACCCAGTGTAAAACTTTAAACTCTATGTGAACGTGCACTTTGAAATCCATCCTGGCAGCGGTGTGTTTTGTATGTAAATCTATCCTTTGCTGTTGCAATTAATTTAGGCGAGTCCCTTGGCTGTTTATTAATTGGCAGCCTTTTTAATTTAATTTCGTTGTGCGAACCCTTTTGCCGTTTCGTTCTTTTCGGGCGAGTTTTCGGCAACATTTTTTAGCACGATACCAGCACTTTGGGACTCGATTTACCGAAATGCCATTTCCATTATCTTAACGTCTTAAGCCTCTATATCCGTTTGGGGATTTAGCAGCGAATCGCAATATTCGTTAAGCCAGCCGAAACTAGGCCCTAGAA